CACACACACACACACACACACACACACACACACACTAGGCACGTGCAACACGAGGCGAGCGAGATGAGAGCAAAAAGAGAGATATGCAGCAAGAGAGAAGAGGAGAGGCAGTGTGCGTACATATGCGTCTGTTCAGTCATGCATCAGTGTGAAAGCATGCCTGCCTGAATATATGTGTGTGTGTGTACAGTGAGCTGTAGGGTGAATGAGGGTTTTTCTCTGGGTGATTCTGATTGTAAGCCACTTCATCATTTATAAACAGTGAATCTCCCTTACTTCATTTAATTGTCTCTTTTTGCCTGCCTGTCTGTCTCTTTTTGGTCTCTAAAAGTCAAATAACCAGGTAAAGCAGAGAAGACATGGACATGAGTCACAGGAAGAGTCTTCTGAACGGTACTGCCCCCAAAAACACCAGGCCAAACACTGGGAACTCTGCACCAGGTCTGCCTCTACTGTCACTCTGCCTCTCAATATTACATGAGACAGCCTTCAGCCTTTACACACACAAAGCAGCCCAGTCAGGCTTGAGCTGATGTGGCCCACAGCGGCCTAACGCCCTCACCACAGTGCATGCACGCATACACACACAGACACTCACTCTCTTAAGAGATTTCTGCAGCTGCAACCAACAGGAAACATGCACCTGTACCACTGGGGGCTTCTGCAAAAGAGTCATCAGTTTCTCAACATCACACACTCTACATAAGTATTCACCCTCTGATGACTGCATTTGAAACTGTACGGAATGACCACCTAATGTTGAAATAAACACTGCTTTTTCTGTACACACACACATTTGATGTCTTAAAGGAACAGTTTACCCTAAAATTACAATTCTGTCATTATTTACCATCTATCCTGTAGTTCCAATAGTATAGTATTTGTTCATAGTTCACAGTGAACAAGTTCATAGCAATGACAAATTGGACAAAAAAGCACCACAAAATTGGTTCATACGACTTGCATCCCGGATCTTAAGTCATGATAGGGCTGGACAATAATTCAATATCAATATGTATCGCGATAGCCGTTTTTATGAGGCTTTTTTTTTATAGTGTTCATATCGATATCGGAATTATATTGTATCGACCGAAATTAAGAAATATATCGTGATAACAATTTTGGCCATATCGTCCAGCCCTAAGTCATGATAGTTTTGAAATAGTAAAAGACCCAAATTTAAGTTGTTATTCACTGATAATCTTTCCCTCTAGTAAGCCCAAGAACCAAAGCAACCAAATCATTGAACCAGTGAGTTGAACTTGAGTACAAGTTCTATCCAATTTGGAGACAAATTCTTTTGAGCTGGTTCTTTTCAATTAAATGCATGATCAAGTTGCACTGAATGATTCATTATGGAAAACACCTGCATTAAAGTGCATCAAGACAAGAAAAAAAAAACATACGAGTTTGGAATACTATAAGGGTGAGTAAATAATGACAGATTTTTTTATTTTTGGGTGAACTCTTTTAAATTCGGGCAGCATTTCAACTATACTATTTGAGAGACTCTTTAACTCTTCCGCTGAGGTTATATGATAGTTTTGTGTCAGTAAAACACCTAAATTTAAGTTATTGTTAACTGATAATCTCCCTTTCCAGTGAGCTGTTAACCCGAGAACCAAAATATGAGAACCAAACCAGTTAAATCTGCATGCAAATGATTCTTTTGAACTGGTTTATTTCAATTAAAGGGGTCCTATTATGCTCTTTTACAAAGTCTTGATTTTGTTTTGGGTGGTTCGAAAAACGCATTATTTTTCACATAATTTACATTATTAAAATACCTTTCTCCCCAGCCTGGCACAAACGGCTCGATTAGTTCCGGCTTTGATGAAGGTCCGCCTTCCGAAAAACAAAATGTGTTGTGATTGGTTAGCTGTC